ATTTTATGGTGTATCTCTCTCTCTCTCTCTCTCTCTCTCTACTTTCCATCACCATATCCCTCCTCTCTTTTGAACTTGTTCCGCGCTCAAACATCCATTATATTATCATTATAATGCAAGCTCCCCAATTATTCAAGCAGTGAACAATTTCTCCTTTCATAAAGTTATCATTTCCTAGTACACAATGCTATTATTCTACCATAAGTATTTACCATTTGTTGGTTTTTTTCAAGATAGACAAAGCTTTTATGACGTTTTCGGTAAAAGTAATAATAATGGATAGCATATTTGCATAGCGCAAATTCCCGCCATTAACAGCAAGCTCTATGCGCTTCTCGATCTATACTATTACCCCAGCAGACCTGGGACCATTCTGAAACAACCTCAACTTCCTGGGAAACATACAATGCAAGCGGCCACTTACAGACGCTAAGACACAAACATACTGAGAAGATCTTTCGCTGTCTGGGCTGGGTACCCATTCTTGCCCTATAGAAGTGAGGACAATTCATGTAAAGTGTCTTTCACAAGGACATAACGTCGGGCTCGCGGGCTCGAATCCCCGAACCCGGTTCCGATATTTATTTTTACTCCAGTGTTCTACTCACAAACTGCAGTGCAAAAGCAGCTAAGGCAATCCTAATGTTGCATCACCTCGCAGGTGCAAGCCGCTTCGCAGTTCTTTCCACCCCTGGGATATCACACATCGCCGTTCCATGCTTCGCCGACTGCTGGTGTCTACAACATACCTCACTTCTATCCGAGTCAAAACAGCCTTGGGTTTGCCTTCCGCGGAAGTCATGCCAGGACCCCCAGTCACGTCTCCTCCGGGAGTTGCCGAGACACTTCCTGTTCCTCTGACGACTGTTGTATTGAGACGAACGGCGGGAATCTCTGTGTGCCCCTTGCGCCTACGTAAGTTGTTATGAGCTGATGGGAAAGTTGTTTGGGTAAGGCCCGTGTCCATTGGAAGATAAACCAGCAGAGCATCTGATGTCCGTCTCTCGGGAAGTGGGTAGTTGGAATGGAGCACCGTTTTTTTTTTTCATTATGAAATCATTGAATAGATCTATTCCGTTTGGCTGTTTCAACAGACTCGACACGACACGTCCTGACAAAACACGTGTCGGATGAAATGCACCTTGCTGCCTTTTCTCCGGGCTGTGCGGTGACTCAGCATCCACTGGCCCAGCCAGAACTAAAAAGGAATCTAATTTTAAGTGACGATTAAAAACCTAATGTCACATGATAATATTCGTAATCAGTGCCTCAAAAGTAATAAAGTCTAAGCGCAAACCACCTGGTAAGTGCATATTAATTTTTTTAAACTGATTTTACCCATTCATTTCTTATTTCCGCCTTGTGTTCATTGACCTCTTGACTATTTTTATAGCCCGGTATCGAGGACACAGTGTAATGGTGACCTCGTTTCGTCGGCTGTGGCAGTTGCAAAATCGCAGATACATAATAAGCTTCGCTTTACTCAAAAGCAAGCACAAAATAATATCTCTTGAACTTGAACAAGAAGTCATTGGTACGACCCCCCCCCCCATCAAAAAGACACTCTCTCTAAAGGTGTGTTTTGTTTTCTACATGTAGAGAATACATTACAAGCTTTGTAACTCATTGATAAACTTGTGTAAAAATCAACATCTTTGAATGTAGCCCGCCACGGGAAAGCCTACTAAGTGATTTTTTAAAAACTCAATACTCAGTCATCTCATGGTGTTTGAAGAGACCGGTTGACAAAGGAGGAAAAAAAAGGGGGGGGGGGGGGGGGGGGGA